AGCCCATATGCGTAATCACTACGCCACCAGGGCTCCTTTAAAGTGAAAAACTGATTTTAATTAACCATCATAAGGTTAACTCCAGGTGTCTGTTATTTTTCAGCCTAAACCTTAGCCAAACGGTAGCGACAAGGCATACAGTCCCCCTCCCACCCCGCCTGCCCCCATGGGTTGCTGCTTGTTGCCGTGGTCAGGTGATGTCGAATCAGCGCGACTCACAGCAACCCGATGTACCACACAGCCAAAACAGTGCTGGTCCCGCGCCCTCTTCACAAATGTGATGTTTGAGCCCATTGTTGCAGCCGCCGCGTCCCTCCATCTCCCTGGTGATCTTGCTCTTCTTCCACTGACCCGCTACTTTGTCAAGTACGATTCTCTTCTCCACCACATCTCTCTCGATACCATGCCCACGGGACACAAGACGAAGTCTCACTATCCTCGCTTCTAGGGAGCATTCTAGTTCTGCTTCTCCTCAAACAGCTGTGCGTTTTTCTGGCAGTCCCCGGCGCTCACATGGCTCTGCTCAAAAACACAGCTCTGTTGTCGAGTTGATTCCAACTCATCTCCACCCTGCAGGGCAGACTTGAACTGCCTCCCAGGATTTCCGGAGCTCTAAATGTTTCAGGAGCAGGCTGCCTCATCTTTCTCCTGTGGAGTGGGGGGTGGATTTGAACGGGTGACCTTTGGGTTAGCAGCCTAACGCTTAACCGGCTCTACTATCAGGGCTACAAAATGCTAGAAAATGCAGTGGAAACAAATGGCGTTCGGTGCCGTCAAGTCAGTTCCGACTCACGGTGACCCCACGGGCAACACAATGAAACAGTGCCTGGTCCTGCGCCATCCTCACTGTTGCTCGTGTGCTGGAGCCCGTTGGGACAGCCGTTGGGGCAATCCATCTTGTCCAGGGCTGCTCCTCTACTTTACTGACCATGATGTCCTTCTCAGGGACTGGGCTCTCCTGACAACATGTCCCAAGTTTGCGAGACAGAAGTCTAGCAATGCTTGCCTCTAAGGAGCATTCTGGCTGTATCTCTTCCAACACAGATTTGTGTATCCCGTTGGCAGTCCATGGTACTTTCAATATTGTTTGCCAACACTATCGTTTTGATGCATTGGTTTTCTTCAGTCTTCTTCAGGGTCCAGCTATCACATGCATATGAGGCCGCTGAACACACCATGGCTTGAATCAGGTGTGCTTTAGTCCTTAAAGTAACCTCCTTGCCTTCCCACACTTGAAAGGGGTCTTGTGCGGCAAATGTACCCAGAGCCATACATTGTTGGATCTCGACTGCTGCTTCCATGAGCACTGCCTGGGATCCACAAGATGAAGTCTTTGGCAACTTCAGTCTCTTCTCCATTTGCCATGACGTTACCTATGGGTCCAGTTGTGTAGATTTGGGTCTTCTTTACATTGAGTTGTATTCCATACTGAAGGTTGCAGTCCTTGGACTTCACCAGCAAGTGGACAAAAACCGCAGGTGGAATAGAACCTAGATGCATATCTAGATGCTGAGATGGAGTGGCCGGTGAAGTTGCTGGGCCACGAAGCTTTTAAGTGGAGAAGGAGCTGCCAGGGCCCAACAGTAAAAAAGACCAAGCCAACCCCAAACCAAATTTACTCCCATAGAGTCGATGCAGACTCATCGTGACCCCATAGGACACGGCAGAACTGTCCCTGTGGGTTTCCAAGACTGGACTATAATTCTTTATGGATTCTAATTCTTTAGAAAGCCTCATTTTTCTTCCCCAGGGTGGCTGGTGGTTTTGAACTGCTGACCTTTCAGATTGCGGCCCAACTCCCAATCATTATGCCACTAGGGCTCCCCTCCTACAGTCTAGCCGGGGCTGACGACTGTAGGCTGCGAGAGTGCCTGACTGATGGACTCCCTGCTTTAAACTGACCTGTGAGTGGGGCAGTGTGGGGCCACTGCCAAGCAGTTTGGCACTTGACCCCCTACGCCAATCCTTCATCGAGTCTGCCAGATGCTGGGCATCATAGCTGGGGCCCTATTGGTGGAGACAGGCTCCCCCTGGATGGGGAAGTAGCCTCAGGAAGCAGCCCCCCACATCCTCAGGTGCTAGCAGAACAAAAGAGCCACTAGATCTGGGGGTACTAGGACAGCTGCACTGCAGTTACGGAGTCTGAACTGTGTCCAGCATGAGCCTGGGCCAGGGACACCAGCAGAGAACCCTGCCAGACCCCCCACCTTCCAGTGGGCTGTGCCTGAAGCCCGCTGAACCCCATCCTGTTCCCTTCTCTCCCTGCTGTAGGGAGTGGGTCCGAGAGGTTAGAGTCCTCCAAGAGGGCTTATACCTGGCCCCACTCTATCTTACCTGTGCAGCTCAGAGAGCTCAGGGTCAAGGTTCATACCCTCTCTCCCCAGGCAGAGCCTGCAGGCCTGCCTCACAGTTACCTGCATCTGGGAAGCTCCCAGGCCAGTCTTCCAATTGGGAAGGGATCCCATTCTCACAGTACTGCTCCAGCTCCAGCCAAGGACTGGTCCCCCAACTCAGGATGGGGAGCCCTTCCCCATCCTATCATGAGGAGCGTCATGTCTGGGCCCTGCAGAGCTGGGGGTTGTTCAGGCAGGACAGAGGCGTGGAGGTGTCTGGGGCGCTAGAACCGAACGCTGTGTTGTTGGGACCACTGTGACAGCTTGTCACCAAGCTGACCACTGGCCTTGGAATCTGCGTGTGGTCACATCTAGACCCAAGTGACAGGATGGTCGCCTGTCCATCACCCACAACAGAGTGGGCATACCCCTCCACTTCCCTGGGCCCTTTTAGGACCTAGTCAGTGAGGGTGGTGCTCTTAATGTCCACCTAGGGACCCTTGACAGCCAGAGAGCCACACCCCTCAGCCGCAGGCAGGATGGGGTGGCAAGTAGCACCCACAGGTGAGAACAGCCCCCTGCCCCCACCCTGGGCTGCTTGCACACCACCAGCTTCTGCAGGGAGCTGCCCTGACGGGCACTCCAAACCTAGAATAGGAGCCAGTCAGTTGTCCCCTAGCAGCCTACACAGCAAAGGCCAGTGGACAGGGTGCCCTTCCTGCTGCTACCTCTGTACTGGCGGCTAATCTCTACTGAGTGGGGAAGGACCCTCCTCTCCTGTCACTGGCCGGTGGTTTCAGAGCAGCCCAGTCCCATGGACTCTGGAACCAATAGTCGTGCCTGGTGTTGGCTGGTCAGGCTCTCCCCTCCACTGTGAAGCACAGCCCACCAGGGGTGAGGGGCCACCGTCAAGACTGGAGATGCCTGAGTGGACCTGCGGGCAGACTCTGCTAAGAGGTGGCTTTCCTCATTGTGGGACCCTGGGACACCAGGTGACCACATAAAGGCCCGGATGGGGGCTTTACCATGTAGTCACCCCCACCCCCACTAAACCATTGCCATCAATGGTGGTGAGAGCAACCCTAAAAGGACAGGGTAGAACAGCCTCTCTAGGTTTCTGAGGCTATAAATCTTTATGGGAATAGCTAGCCTCATCTTTCTCCATGGGAGAAACCAGTGGGTTTGAACTGCTGACCTTGCGGTTAGCAGCCCGACATGTCCTGCAGGGCTCCTCAGGGGGCATGTTCTCAAACTCAAACTCACAGCCATTGAGTAGAACTACCCCCTGTGGGTTTCTAAGACTGACACACGGGAGTAAAAAGCCCCGGCTTTCTCCCGAGGAGCGCTGGTGGTTTTGAACTGCTGACTTTGCAGTCAGCAGCCCCATGCGTAACCACGATGCCACCAGGGCTCCTTTGGAAGGGGAAGGTTCTTGAGGAGGGTAACAATTGGGGAGCACCAGGGTGGTATCAAGCCCAGAGCAGGGTAGCATGTGGTAGGAGAAGGGACCAGTGGGGACCAAGGGTTGGTGTGGATCTACTCACCGTGTTGATGTACTCCCGTGTCAGCTGGACCAGGTAGGGTGCAGTATAGTCCAGGAGCCCGTGTCTCCAGGCCAGCTCGAGCACCACGTCCGGATGCAGCAGGTCGTAGCAGGTGAAGAGCGAGGCCACAAAGCACTCCCGCTGGCCCCTCTCCAGGAGCCAGTGCAGCAGCTCCTCCGCCAGTTCTGCATCCCGGGACTCTGCAGCCAGCTGCATGGCGTCCTGCCAGGAAGCACACGTGGCTGCCCAGCCTGCACCAGCCCAGGCTTGTGCCACAGGACGTGTGCTTTCGGGAGCAGCCGTGGGCCAGGCAGGGCAGGGGGCACAGCAGGCTCCAAGAGTAGGCAAGTTTGGACATACTCCTTCTGAGCAGACGCGGATAGAGCCGCCACTAATCCTGTGGCCTCCAGAGCCCTCCATGCACAGGGCCCCTACAGGACAGAGCAGAACTGCTCCCTAGGGATCAGTCTTCACTGGAGCAGACAGTCCCATTCACCTGTGGAGTTGCTGGTGGATTCGAACTCCCGACATGTCCATGAGCAGCCCCACATTCGCCTCCCTGCTCCACCAGAGTTCTTATTCTGAGTGATTCTGACCTAGAGAAACCCCACAGGACAGCGCAGAACTGCTCCCTAGAGTGTATCTTTATGGGAGCAGACAGCCTCATCTTTCTCCCTCGGAGCAGCTGGTGGATTTGAACTGCTAACATTTCAGTTAGCAGCCCAGCCCTTAGAACCTACCGCCCCACCAGGGTTCCCTTTTCAAGGAGAGGCTGAATTGCATTTTGTTAGTTTTCATTTTCTGCCACCAATGACTTAGGTCCTAAGAAAAGCCAACAAACCCATGCTGCGGATCAGAGTCAATTCTGACTCCCAGCAACCCTTGAAGGCCAGAGACCAAAGTTGGTCTCAGACACCATGTGGGCATTCCGTCAGCCTTGAAGTTGCTCATGACCAGAAGACTGCAAGGTGCTAGTGTGGCATCAGCCAGGTTGACCACTACCACCAGCAGCAGTGGTAACTGTGACTTGGCCAAGTACAAAGCAGGCACTTTGTGGCCACTGCCACACTGAGCTATTTCCCTGTCTATTCCCAAGAGTGCTGCATATGGAGTGGGAGGAGAAATGTGGAGCAAAACTCCAAGTCACAAAGAAGGACCAGGCTTTACTAGTGGACAGGTGCAGACACACCTGAAGGGGACTGTGCCCCGGGGCTCAATTTTTCAGCTGTGTGTGACAATAACACAGCCCAACAAAAACAAATTTTTTTTGTGGTATCTCGGTTCAGAACATTGCATTGGCTAGACTACATCTGTGCTACTGTCTAATTTCTTGTGGGTTAAATGACTGGGACGTTTGTATCAGAAATCTGTGCTTTGGGTATCAGTAGGTTTCCAGGCGGTACACTTTTCATTTTTAATAGGTTTCCTTTGTGCTGAGAGGTAGTCATTTGAACACTGCGTCAAAATGCCCTGGCTTGTTTATGGGCGAGCAGAGTGAAGGGTGGCCGATGGTACAGGTTCTGACTCGTAATAACTGGAGCAGACATGGGAAACCTGGCATCCCTTGGGAATCCAGAGGTCAAATATTCCCAGAAACGGGACACCTTTTGGAGGCACCACAATGTGTGCTGGTATGCATGGAGGTATGCAGTCCTTAGAATAACTGACCGTTTGCCATCATCCAAAGGGCAGCATTTGCCCAAGGAGGCAAGAAGGGTTGAGGAGGAGTGATGGAAATGGAAAACAGAAGAAGAGGAAGAAACCAGAAGAAGAAATCAGAAGAGACACACGGGAGGTGTGCCTTTGCTTTGTCCCACAGAGATCTTGGTTGGTTTCAACTACTGACCTTGAAGTTAGCTATCCTAGCAGCTTCCGCTTCAATTCAAAACCCCAGGGCAGTGTTTCTTGAGGTCTGTCTGTGGAATGTTCAGCAGCACCTTACCTAAGAACCACTGCTCCACATGGGTATGCTTATGGCTTTGCTTGATATGCTTAGCTGCCAGTGGGCTGGCTGGCTCAGAGAGGATAGGCTGCCTGAGAGGAGGTGCCAGCGGGGTGGGATGTGCGTCCCTGCTGGGACCAGTGTGTGTGCCCTGTCACTCCATTGTCAGTAGAGCGATGGCTTCCCCTTGCGTGTGTCTGAGCCTGACTGCCCCAGCGCATCTCCTTTCTGGCCCTTTGCAGGGAGGGCCGGGAGCTCTGTCCAGCTGAGCTGTCCAGGACGAGGGTCCAGACTGGAGGTGGCAACGTGGGTCGAAGTTCACCGTGCGCCAGGGTCACTTCCTTGATGGGGTCTGAGCCCAGGGTCACAGTGCACATGTCCCAGAAACACACTGACGAGGGCAACACCTAGGCACGCACGTGAAGTCTCCCCAATGATCGGCTGAGGAGCCTCGGGTGCCCAGGAGCCCCGAGAGATGGCTCAGGGCGGACTGTAGTACAAAAGTGGTCTTTTGGGCAACTCCACCCTGCTCTACTGGGCAGACCACTCTTGTCGAACCAAGAGGTGGTGGGTGGCACTTTCAGAATCCTGGCAGCTAGCTCCTCAAGGAGCTCAGCAGGAGGAGAGTGGTACCCAATAGGTTCTGGTAGCACACACCCACACATCTGGAAGGTGACTCGTTTGGTTACTTTATTCCCCAACTCTTGATAGGAAGGAAGTGCCAACGGGTGGCGGCTGCCACGCTGCATTCAATTAAGCTCACCAATAACTGGGAGGGAGGCAATCAACCCACAGGCACAACTGAAGATCTCTTCTCGGGAGAACGGAAGCTGTGCGTGTCTGCTAAGAGGACTGCGCTGACCACATTTTGGAGCAGTTCCATTCTGCCCGAGAGGGTCACCAGGAGTTGCAGTTGATGAGACACCACTGGGTTTGGCATCTGTTGATAAAGGAGAGCCGGTGGCTAAGTGCTTGGCTGCTGGGAGTTTGGTGGTTCAAATCCACCAGTCATACTGGAGGCGAAAGCTTGAGGCTGTGTGCTTCTGTAAAGTTTACAGTCCTGGGTAATTCTACGGTGTCCTATAGGGCCACAGCGAGTTGGAATCTACTGGATTGTTTATATGATTTTGGGTTTCATGTGTTTAATGGTGGTGGTGGTGGTGGTGGTGTGGGGAGGGTCCCGGTTCCCATTTGCTCTCCTAAAAAGCTGGAGGTTGGAGTTTATGCAGAGGTGCCTCAGAAGAAAAGCGTGGTGCTCTCTTTCTGAAAAATCAGCCACAGAGGCCCCACTGGGTGAGACTGGATAACCCCCTGCCTGGACTTACTGCCCAGAAACAAACTTTAATCCTTCAACCCAAAAGTCGTCTTTTGACCGAACAACATTTTAGCTTAACCAACCAGTGCCTTGAGCACTGTACTGTTTTAACGACCATCTCTGTGGGGTCCGAGGAGTAGATATACGCTGGGCTGTGAACAGAAGGTCAGCAGTTGGGGGTTGGGGACAGAAGGGGCTTTGTACTTATATAAAGAGTTACAGTCTCAGAAATTCACAGGGGGCAGTGCTACTCTGTCCTATAGGGTGGCTATGAGGCGGCACTGACCCCGTGCAGCGAGTTTGGTCTTTTGGTTTCTATGGGATCAAACTGGCCACAGCAGCCCTGAGGTTTGGGGAGGAAGGAGCAACTGTGAGAAGGAGGGTACGAGTGGTGGCGCAAGTTGCAGGCTGTACTTGTTGCTGCTGTTGTTGGGTGCCCTCAAGTTGTTGCCAGCTGTCGACCCTGTGGCCAACAGAATGAAATGCCGCCTGGCCCCTGCCGCCCCAACCGCTGTCGTCATGTCTGAGCCCATGGCCGCAGCCACACTGTCAACCCAGCTCGTGCAGGCCCTTCTCTTCCGCTGGCCCTCTACTTGGCCCAGCCCGATGTCCTTCTCCAGGGCTGTCTCCCTCTGCTGACAACACGTCTAAATATGTCAGAGGAAGTCTCCCCTTCCTGCCCTCTAAGGAGCACCCTGGCTGTACTTCTTCCCAGACAGACCCGTTTGTTCTTTTGGCAGCCCATGGGACTTTCTTTTTTTTTTAAATCATTTTATTGGGGTGCTTGTACAACCATGATCACAATCCATCCATCCATCCATCCATTGTGTCAAGCACATTTGTACATCCGTTGCCATCATCATTCTCAAAACATTTTCTTTCTACTTGAGCCCTTGGTATCGGCTCCTTTTTTTCTCCCTCCCTCACAAACCCTTGATAATTTATAAATTATTTTTTCATGTCTTACACTGTCCGATGTCTACTTTCACCCACTTTTCTGTTGTCTGTCCCCCAGGGAGGGGGTTATATGTAGATCCTTGTGATCAGTTCCCCTTCTCTCCCACCTTCCCCTTAACCACCCTGGTATCACTACTCTCATTATTGGTCCTGAGGGGTTTATCTGTCCTGGATTCCCTGTGTTTTCAGTTCCTATCTGTACCAGTGTACATGCTCTGGTCTAGCCGGATTTGTAAGGCAGAATTGGGATCATGATAGTGGGGGGAGGAAGCATTAAAGAACTAGAGGAAAGTTCTATGTTTCGTTGTTGCTATACTGCACTCTGACTGGCTCGTCTCCTCCCCGAGACACTTCTGTAAGGGGATGTTCAGCTGCCTACAGATGGGCTTTGGGTTTCCACTCTACACTCTCCCTCATTCACAATAATAGGATTTGTTCTTTGATGCCTGATACCAGAGGGACTTTCAATATTCTTTGCTTGATTCTTCCTTGTTCAGGATCCAACTTTCACATGTCCAACTGTCTCATGCATATGAGGCATGGATCAGGTACACCTTTATCCTCAAAGCAACAGCTTTGCTTCTGAATACGTTAAAGAGGTCTTGTGCAGCAGATGTATCTAATCTGCTGCACAAGATTGTAATTCTAACTCTAAGTCATTGCAATTGAGTCAATGCCAACTCACAGCGCCCCTGTAGGGCAGGGCAGGGTAGAACTAACTACCCCTGTGAGTTTCTGAGACTGTAACTCTTGACAGGAGTAGAAATCCCGGTGAGTGGCTGGTGGTTTCAAACTGTTGACCTTCAAACTGTTAGCAGTCCAACGCATAACCACTATGCCATGGGGGCTCCTCAATATAAGCAGCACCATCGAAGTGCTCCTAGAGGGACGGTTGCATGCTCGGCTGTGCATGGTCTCAATAACAATAATAAAATGAGATGAGTTTCAAAGCACACACGAAACATCTGGAACACAGTTTCAAAGCACACACAGAAGCATCTGGAACACAGTTGTATGCTGACAGACATCTGGCCATCTGCTCAGTGATAACCGGCTACATTAATAACAGACACTGCGCCTCTAGACCAGGGGTCCTCAAACTTTTTAAACAGGGGGCCAGTTCACTGTCCCTCAGACCCGTTGGAGGGCCAGACTATAGTTTAAAAAAAAACTATGAACAAATTCCTGTGCACATTGCACATACCTTATTTTGAAGTAAAAAAGAAAACGGGGCAAAAACACCTGGTGGGCCGGATAAACGTCCTCGGCGGGTCGCGTGTGGCCCACAGGCCGAAATTGAGGACGCCTGCTCTAGACCACTCCCAACTCTTGCTTCTTGTTCTAAGACTGTCTTGAGGCGCTGTTAGCTTCATTCTTCCTTTGCCTCCATGAGAATCTCTTGGAGAAACTCAGAGAAGACAGACCCAACCAGCCCAAAGCCATCAAGTTGACTCCAACTCCAAGCCGCCCCATAGGGCAGAGTAGAATTGCTCTCTATGGTATCTAAGACATTCCCCTGCGGGACAGCGGTGGGCTTGAACCGCTGCCCTTATGGCTAGTGGTCCAGCACTTCACTCACTATGCTATCAGGGCTCCTACAGGAGAAGCAAAGAGTAGTTACTGATCACCCTTCTGTCCCCCAAGCATCCTGGAGGGAGCACACAGAAGCAGGGAGGAGAGAAGGGCTCATGCCGGGCCCCCTGGGGCCACTAACCTTGTAGAGCTGGTCCTTCTTACAGAGCGCCACGCTCTGGGCCCACCGGCCTGTCTCCTTGTACAGCTGCGCAGCCAGGCGCCGGAACTCTATCAGCGGGTGCCTTTCTAGGCGCTGAGCCAGGCCGATGTGGTCAAAATTGTCATAGGCCTCCAGGGACGTCCTCAGAGCCTGGGAGACACCGCCTTAGGTGAGGCCTGTGGCTCCGTGGAGTGGGTACCCAGGAATGCCTCGGAGGGCTGTGGCAGCCAGCCCAGCTTCAGAAAGCAGCCCTCCCTCCCTGCCCACCCATTTGGCAGCCTGGGGAGGGGACAGACTGAGAGCCCAAGGCGGGGGCTGTTTGTGCTCGCCCCTGCTCTCGGGAGGCCACAGCACCACCAGTGAGCGGCTGTCCCTGGGGCCAGAAGGGGAAGCCCACCCCTTCCCAGGTTTGTATGGTGCGCAGAGCCAGTCGAGCCAGTCGCCCTCCTTCATACCCACCTGGTAATCCTCTTCTTCCAGCAGCAGGTGGTTCAGCGCCTCGTTCACACTCTGGTCATTGTGGCTCTGGACTGAGCGCAGGTAGGGCTTCACCAGGGACAGCTGGCCTGCCTGCAGAGCCAGGGAGGGGGGGTCAGGGCCCTCACACAAGCTAACACTGAGGACGACATGGCTGGGGCACCTGGGGTCGGGCAGGCACCATTTAAGGAGGCAAGTGTGGGACATCTTCTGGACAACTAGCACCTCCATCTGCGATGGGAATGGCAAAGGCTCTTTGGGGTTGGTCTGTGGATGCCTACTTCCTCCCTGGACACGTGGGCTAGCAGGTGTGTCCTGTCAAACCTAAAACTGGGCGATTCATTAAATCTTCAAATGGTCCAAGGACGGAGCTTGGAGCATGGATACTGAAATACTCTTGAGTCAAAAGATCTTAGAAGCTTGTGGCCCCTAGCCTGCCATCCCCCTGTCCCGCTGCCACCTTTTCTGGAAACAGTGAGGTCGGCCAACTCACCTTCGAGAAGAAGCTGATGGTTCGGGCATGGTCGAGGCGGGGTGAGAGTGCCAGGAGGAGGTTGTTGATAAGCAGGGGTTTGTAATCCAGGTAAAACTGCAGGGCTTTGTAGCAGAGCTCCACATTGCCGACCTGGGAGGACGCGAAAGTCAAGGGCACCTACAGAAACCTCCTAACTTGGATGGGGAGAGAGCTAGGTTCTAAAAGCTCGTGGGTGGCCATCCAAGGTGCAATTACTGGTGTTTCCCCATCCGGAGTGAAGAAGAGCACAAAACTCACAAGACCCTTGGAGACAAGTAGTCCCATGGTCCAGTGAGCCATGCCCACAGCAGCCTCCCTCGCCTTGAGATCAGAAGAACGAGGCGGTGCCTGCTTACAATCCCAACTGCTTTGAAAGGCGTTGAATTAGAAAGCCTTGGGGAGAATGGGGGAACAATGTGGAAAAGAATTCACAATCATAAAAGACTAGACTAAATGGTCAGTTAGAGACAGGTAGAACCACCCCACCCCCACAGGATAATGACCCTTAGTCGCCCTTCCAGTCTGGATCTGAAAACACCTCTGCGTGAAGAATCATCAGTTATTTGAGGTCAAAAGAGCAGCGTTGAGCCAAGGACAAAGTTCAGAGAGTTGGGAAAGAAAGGAATGGGAACAGGAGACAGGAGGAGGAAGCGGGTGGGGATGCGTTCAGGGGACTGCCATCCAGGAACTGCGACACAGCGTGTAAGCACTGTCGAACAGCAAGCCGGTGACCTGCTCTGTAAACCCTTGCCAAAACCATCACGCCGCTAGGTGCTGTCCAGTTGGTTCCGACTCCGAGCGATCCTATGGACAAGAGAACCAAACAGCAGCCGGCCGGTCCTCTTATGTCTGAGTCCACTGTTGCAGGTGCTGCGACAAGCCATCTCGTGGAGGGCCTTCCTCTTTCTCGCTGCCCGCCAGCTTTTCCAAGTATGATGTCCTTCTCCAGGGACTGGTCTCTTCCGATAACATGTCCGAGGTACAGGACACGATGCCTTGCCATCCTTGCTTCTAAAGGAGCATTCTGGCTGTATTTCTTCCATGAAAGACTGACAAAATCAAGGGTGCCTGTGACCCCCCAGCAGACCCATCCTCACCTCCAGGTGACTTGGCTCCCCCCCCCAAAAAAAAACATGCCCCAAATTCACAGCCATCAAGGCAATGCTGACTCATAGTGAGCCCCTGTGGGTTTCTGAGACTCTGCTAATGGGAGTAGAAGGTCCAGTCGTTTTCCCACAGAGCTGCTGGTGGTTTCAAACTGCTGACCATGCAGATCAAAGTCCAACGCAAAACAACTACCCCACCTGGGCTCGAGTGGCCCCTTTATCAGAGGAACTTGTCTGGCCTGTCTCCAGGAGACTGCAGCAGCCCTGCAGCGGCACTCCCAAAGACTTGGATGGACGTCTTTCTCCTCAGCCCTCGCCAGCTGCCCCGCTGCATCTCTGTCTCACTCACTGTGCCCCATGAGGCCCTCAGAGGCAGGGGTGGGGGTACCAGGCACGTCTGACACCAGCTCAGTGCCCGAGGGGAGTGAGGCCAGCACAAGCCTATCCAGTTACTTGAACTCAAGAGGTGAGGCGAGCCCCAGTGAACCCCAAGGTGCTGAATGCCACATGCGCTTTGTCTGGGAGAGCACCCGTAGTTGGCCTGGAGCCCAGTGTGGGTACCCACACTCTGTGCAAACCTGACAGGCCTGCCCCTCAGAGGTGGCTCCAGCGGCAAGCTCTGCGCCCGGGGAGGCCTGCTGCCATGTGTTAAAGTCTAGTCAGGTCGCTGGAGCTTGCCTCTTGGCACCGTCCCGGCTGCCCTCCGGTCTGTGCTTTTAACATGATTCAGCAACTTGCTGCCTGGGAGGGGGTGGAAGGCCAAGGTCTGCGCACTGCTCTGGGCTTGGGTGGACGCTGAAGGGCAGTTCCAAGGCTGTGGCCATTGGCTTGTTGTAGGCATTAGTGGTGGTGCCAGATGTGTTTAAGGCACGAGGCCAGAGCTTGGCTGGACGGGGCAGGCGTAAGGGGAGGGGCATCAGGGGACAGTGTGATGTGGTGACCTTCTGCTCCTCTAGGGCCAGACCCAGACACGTCCTCTGTTCTCCTGCCCTCCCAAAGGACTCACGACCCAGCACCACGACGAAGACTAACAGGCAGTGGCGTGGCCATGTCAAGAATGTCCCCACGGAATGGGGAGTCCCAGAGGTGAAACTAACGTCACATCAAGAACAGGCTGGCCACCAACCTGCTGCTTCTGCCCTAGGGGCCTAGGGTGCAGTTGGCAACTCTCGGGACCAGAGCCTCACCCCTGCCTGCCGCCTCTGAGACTTACTGATCACATCATGATACCGACCGCCAAGAAATCCCCCCAGCCACTCCACTAATTTAAAATACACAGCCTACATCAGAGCTTAGCATGTGAAAAGAGTGTATCTAGACTTGCTCAAGTCCAGAGGAGGTGGTGAGGGGGCTGCCACACGTTGTTGGATCCAACATGAGTGGCGCCTTGTCCATCTTTGACCTCTGCCCTCTGGCAGCCACTGTGGATTTGGCCAAGGTGAGGCATTCCAGCAGCCATGAGCTGACAGGCATGCCTTCTGGGGGGATTCCTGCAGGTGGCACTTTGTTCCTGTCCTGTCCCAATCCCCAGTCTAGGCAGCTGTGGTAATTAAGCTTTGTGTCAACCTGGCTGGGTCAGAATTCTCAGCGGTAATCACTACCTTTATGGAATCTGCAATGAACCACAGTTTTAAGAGGATCAGGGTGAAATCCAACCACCTTATACAGGCCACAGGACCCCTGGTGGTGTAGTGGTTACGAGCTGGGCTAAAATCTGCAAGGTCATCAGTTCAAAACTACCAGTTGCTCCATGGGAGAAAGATGAGGCTTTCTACTCTCAGAAAGGGTTACAGTCTCAGAAACTCACACGGGCAGTTCTACCCTGTCCTGTAGGGCCATTATGAGCTGGCATGGACTCAGTGGCAGTGAGTTTGGTTTGGTTTACTCAGGTTCCAGGCTTCATGCTATTGAAAGGCACTTTCCCAGGGATGTGACATACTTCCTATATAAGTAGACGCTGTGGAGAGCTTGCTTCTTGCTGAAGTCGGATCCTGCATCTGGCTCATTGACCCTCTGGTTCTTTGGACTTGAGCCAACAGTCTGCTACATTGTCTGCCAGCCTTGGGAGCCAGCCACCTGACCTGTCAACCATGGAGTCATTGGACTCTGCAGTCACAAGCCTGACCGGCTGACCTTGGACTCATCCACCTCTGCACCCACCGACCTATGGTGTTCCTGTGTCATCTTCCTGCTCCTGGCTGGCCTTCTGCTTCCTGTCCATCATCCCTGCAGCTATGTGAGCCAGGAGAAGCCTCCAGCTTAGCAGCTGACTCAGACTGGAACTGGACTTACCTGCTGGAAGTTATGCTGTTGATATCAATTTCTCTCTCATTCTCTCTCTCTATATATACATACAATTGTTTTTGTTTTTCTAGAGAACCCGGATGCTACGATTAATTAGTGGCTGGCAGGTTTGAGTGTAAGTACCCAGCAAGACTTTAAGATTGGGCTATGTCGCCTCTAGGTGGGTATGACTTGGAGTTCTGTTCAGCTTTGGGTGCAGGTTGCAGTCCTGGCTGACAACTGCCCCTCCTGCCAGCACATTTGCCCCATAGGAGGGAAAGACACAGGAGAGAGAATCATGACACCTTTTGAGATGAGGGTGTCTGTCCACACCAAGAGCACCAGGGCAGTGATAAACTCACATGTGGATTCTCACTAGCAAGTATCCCAGGGCAGAAGCCTATGGATACTAGGGCAACGTGAGCGTGGATGATCACCAAGGACCAGGAACAAGTGGTCAGGACTGCATGCTTTTTACCTGAGACCCTGAACATGGAATTGAACAGACCAGGTGGACCCTAGGTCAGTCTCACTCAGAGAGTCTGGGGGCCTAGTCATAAAGCCATGCTTGATGCTGGCACCCAAACTGGACACCATCTACCATATTTTTATTTTGGATGGGTAGTCGATAAGGCAGACAGAAAAGGAACTGATGCCTTTGAACAATGGGGTTGAGAATGCTGACAGTACCGCGGACAGCCAAAAGAACAAAGCAATCTTCTTAATTCATAAGTTCTTTCTTATACATAGATGAGTGTCATTGGGTTTCTTTCTCTAGACAACCAGGCCTAACACAAAGGAAATACAGCTGGGGATGCTCCTTAGAAATGAGGGTGGCCATCTAGCTCAGAAGCAACAAAGCCCATATGGAAGAAGCATACCAGCCTGTGTGATCACGAGGTGCCGAAGGGATCAGTTATCAGGCATCAAAGAACAAAAAATCATATCATTGTGTGCTCATCTCTATGATACGATTGCTGAAGACAAATGGGTGCATAAGCAAATGTGGTAAAGAACGCTGATGGTGCCCGGCTATCAAAAGATACAGCATCTGGGGTCTTAAAGGCTTGAAGGTAAACAAGCAGCCATCTAGCTCAGAAGCAACAA